TCTCGAAATTCTGCACACAAGGGACTAATCCAGCGCTATGACGACCCTTTCCTTATAACAATGAGGATTAGCAGGTTGGCCTATAGGCTGGATCTTCCTACTTGTCTCAAACTTCATCTAGTTTTTCATGTTGCCTTCTTGAAGCATTATATTGAGGACCCGAAGGATCCTAACAGATACGTTCGGGGTCGGGTTCCTCCAACAATCAGGAAGTAATTCACAGAAATAGCTGAAACTATCCTTGACCACAACACTGAGGGAATGAGTAAGAAAAACAGAAGAACTCATTACCTAATCAAGTGGAAAGGGAAAGTGCCAGAGAAAGCCACTTGGGAGAAAGAGACAACATTGTGGCAGTTCGAGGATCTCATCAAGCAATACCATGCCTTTATTTTAACGAGGTCGTTGGATACTTCAGGTGGGGGTGACTTGTCACACCCTAACTGACTTGGGTGCAAATGGCCGGTCTTGGTGGCACCTTGCACCAAGGCATGCCATAAGTCAGAATCAAGGTGACGTGGCTAAGTGGTTCGACAGATTGGGGCGAACCAAGACAGCATGAGACCATCCGGTTGAGCATAACAGCACGTGGTGGGCTCAATTGAAGCAATGTGGGTACATAGCTTCGGATTGCATGGCATGGGTTGAACCCAGCATGCACATTGGTTCGTGAAGCAAGGCTGGCTGTTGAATGTGGGCACATGACTGACACATGGTTGCTCAATGCATGTGACCAAGAGGGTGTGGGCAGTTGCAGATGCTGAGACACTGCCAAGGCAGTTACTGAGGCAGTTTTGGGCGTCCCTAGTCTGAATCCAGTCCAAATGCATGCTGATGAAGGACAGTTCCACATCAGTTACTGAAAGGGGTGGAACTGCATGCCAGGTGTGACACAGAGATCAAGCCTGCTAGCCAAGTATGCTATGGAATAACAAAAACGTATGTAACTACCCCTTCGTAGATGTGGGTGTCATCTGTCTTACTCCTGTATAAATAGGGGTACTTGAGCATTCTGATAAGGGGAGAGTGTTCTGACTATGAGAGTCCTTGTAAATTGTTGAGTTCAATATATAAGGTTTGTAAGTTTTGTCCCAGTAAATTCATGTGTGCCTTCTATGTGAGTTTTTGTCCCTTATTCTTGAGTTTATGTGTGACTGATTGTAATAGCAACGCCTTCACAGGTAATTTCAAAAAAAAAAGAAAAGTTATCCGTAACAATAAGAATGAGGAGGTCCTAACACTTCTTGGGTATGTGCCATGTGTCTGTCCCTGGTTGGTTTGACAGAGCACATCCCGTCAACTATCCCCAAACTTTGATTTTCGTACGGAAGAGACGCGTTGAGTGAACATGAAAGTCTTCCTCATAACAGCTTTTTGGGAAACATCGTGCCGTATTTTTTCCATTGGTTTTGAATTCAACATTTAATGGCACATATTCGTGTTCTGTACACAATCATACCCCCACATCTATAAAAGGATGTTTCTTCGCATTGGATTTTCTTTACTTGAACCTTCAAAACCCGTGACCTTAAGCCTCATTGTCTTCTCGTGCTTAGCCATACCCTCATCTCTTTCGCAAGAGTGCCCATGGTTCAATTTTCTAGTATTTCAAGATCATTGCGTAGGCTCTGAATCGTCGCTGGTGAACCTGTAAGTTCTATCCTCTGTCTATCAATTTGAGGCAATTTTCCTTTTTGCGCTCCTATTTTCCTTGTCTTTCTGTTCCTTCCTCCATTAGAGCCATCTATGGCTAGGATCCATAAGACTGCTGCCCCTGCCGATGATAGGCCTCATGAATCCAGGCTGAGGAAATATTAGGTGAAGGGGCTCAACAAATAGCCATTTGGCTGAATGTGCCACGTGTCTACCCTTGGTTGGTCTGATAGACCATGTCCTGTCAATGCATATTAGCATATAGCATTGGAATAAAGTTTATTGAGTCAAGTTGATTTTGATATTAGCGTATAACATTATCAAACAACTACCAATAGTTATGAAATCATTGTTCTGATAGTTGGGAGCTTGTCCTCTGACTTCCATTTTTTATATTTGCATGCGCATTGCCTAAACAATTGTCGTGAAATCACTGCTCTGCAATCTTTGTTCAGTTTTTGGTTTAACAAAAAGGAATTAGGTGTAGAAAGCATGACTAACCTCTCTACTTTACTCTTAAAAACTCAATTATGATTGCCACAACAACAACGGACATCACACATTTGGGCCATGGTGTTTGCTGTGATATGATAACATTTTACTAGAAATATGTCTCTCTGCTCTCATCATGTCGATCAACATCATTCACAGTGCGTACTAGTTTTTTTTTTCTTCTTCGAGTAGGCAAGAACTTCAGTACATTTGCGGAGGTGAGGGTGAGGGTGAGGGTAAGGGAGTGGGAGGGTTGAAGCTAAAACCCCAGTTGGAACCTAGGAAAGGCTGTCCTTTCTAACTGGCCTAAGCCTTATCTTCACCGGGCATTTAGGTTAACTCTATTCTTACCCCATTTAATTTCTTATTATCAAATTATTTAGTCTACCATTTCTATACACACCTATTATATGCCCCACTTATTAGTAATTAAGTCTACCCTCATGCTATATACACCCTTTAATAAATAAGAAAAAAAAGAAAAATCAAGAAAAAGAAGAAATCTATCGTTGGAAAAATAAAAAACGAAACAAGTTTTCTATTGAAATAACCTTTACTGCCACTTTTTAGAGCAATCTAAACGCACATATATATATATATACACACACACACATATATACATACATATAAACCTTAAATAAAAAATTATTAAACTTGACAAAGATATCAAAACACAAAATAATAGAAATACATATAGCACACATGAAATCAAGCATATAATTACATCGAAAAATAATAACTTGTATCTCATTAGAGAAATACATAATGAAAAAGTGATTTTGTGAGTGTATGGGATGAGATGATGAAAATAAAATCTTAATGGTGAGAAGATACAAAATGAACTTACTTATTTAAATGATGTATATAGCATTGGGTGAGTTTAGTTATAAATGAGGTGGGTGTAGAAGAAGTGAGTTTAATAATTTGATAATAAGAAATTCAATGAGATAGGAATAGCCACACCCGAACATATAAGAGTGAAGGACATAGATTTGCCAAAAAAAACGATTTGTTGTAGGTCCGCTTGAGGAAATTTCCCCACTAAATCAGAGCAATTTGGATCTGATTTAGTTTGGTCACTTGGTATTCAAAAGCAAAACCAACCTATCCGTGGTCCCAGTCTATCTTAGTTTCGATCCTAAATCATCTAGACAGCGAGGTGCCTCGCCATTTCAAACTCAAGCCAGCATAGAAATAACATCAACATGATTGATATGTCGAGCATAAGCAATAAGTAGAGTCATTGGATAAGCATTTACGTAGGTGTTGCAGTAGTGATCATGTTCCTGGCTGATGAATTTATTGCTTGAAAAGGCTCAACTGTTTTATAATTCCTGGTTAAAAAAAACATCACTCAATTAGCTGGGGGCATCTGTTTTGTGTGTGGGAGGTTTGTTTTTTGGAAGAGGAAGGAGGGGTTATAGATAAAGTACTTGGAGGCCAAATGTCCCATTCTCAAACCCTTAAGGCACTTGTTTGTCAAGCTTGAATGCACAAATTACGTGGCCTTCACACCATCTGAGTCAATAGCTCTGACCAGCCCTCACAACTTTAACATACGGTAGTACAATATACGTCTAACGCTCATGCTTATATAAGGCACTTCACCGAACGATATAGAACTAGGTCACCTCACCTCAGTTGCATATCATTTCTCGAAATATTGTTTACATAGAATTAATTAGAATTTCAATATGCTAATATTAGGAATTGGGAGCCAAAATCTAGAATTTCTGGAACATTATTCCATTTCTGCTGGCCTTAACTTGATCAGTGCATTGATCTTCATACATATAAATAATTGTGGGGTGGTTTTGCACAAGAAGTTTGTACCCAATAGTTATAGAACATGATCATTGTAGTTGAATACTGTCCTGGATGTCAACACTTCCCACTCAATCTCAGATCATCTTATTTTGTGTCACATCATTTTAAGCATTTTGAAATTAGGTAGTGATTTAGGCAAAAACCTAATACAAAGAAAAATGAGGTCAAACCAAATTCATTATATTTTATTTTCCAACCTCTATCTGTTTTTGTACTGCCCCAGAGAAAGCAAATGTTCAGTCAGATTTGAAAAAGCTATTCTATATTGTTCCAATTGTGACCAAAAGTAATGGCTCGTTTACATAGTGTTTTTTTTTTTTTTTGTGGTTTTAAACCAGCTTACGTAAATCTCTACTAATTTTTTTCTAGTTCGGTCAAAAATAAGTCATCCATGTCAAGACTCGAATATTATAACTCTAAGAAATTGTCAAAATTTAAATTCAAGATATCTGATTTACTCTATTTGAAAAAGTAGTCTAATTTTTATATTAATTGTGTGCTTAGTATGAAATTTGGGCCCCCCCCCCCCAAAAAAAAAAAAAAAAAAAAAAAGAAAAAAAACAACAACAACAGAAACAAACATAACAAGAACAAAGTTAAAGTGGTGGCCGACCTATTGACTTACACTTTTCCATGCCGTGATTGATGGCTTTATTTTTTTCCAAGTTTCTTAGCTCTCACTCCTCAAAGTTTGATCATACTTTCAAGGTTAAGGTTTTTTTAAGAGGGAACTTGTTATCTAGATTACCTCTAATGTAGTTTATTTTAGTTTTTCTTAATTATAAATATCGTGTGTTAGTAGAGAATCCACTTCCAGATAATAAATTTGATTAAAATTTACGACAAGTAATCTATTATTGAAAAAAATTACTTGCGTACGAATCCAAATCTACGAAGATCCCATAATCCTTACTTTTTCTTCAGTCACTCCAACAAGTTTCAACTACTATCTTATTGAAGTACCATAAAAAAGAGCAAGCCTAGCCACCCATCAACTTTTTTTTATCTTGGACAACACCTAGCAACTTCATCAACTTCTTTTCCTTTATCTAACACACTTCAACTTTATATGTATCTCCACATTTCTCTCTCTCACAAGAACTCTCATACCACACAACCATGGACTGGTTCTCATGGCTATCAAAAACTGGCCTTGAACCTTCCCTTATTTATGAATATGGCCTAGCTTTTTCTCACAATGAACTTGAAGAAGACGACATAGCTTACTTTAACCATGAGTTTCTCCAAAGCATGGGAATCTCCATCGCCAAACACAGATTAGAAATTCTCAAGCTCGCCAGGAAAGAGAAGGGTAACGGCCCACATCCCATGTCAAGGCTTCTTGTTGCGATCAAGCGAACCAAGAGGTCTCTTACCAAGTATATTCGGACGTGGATTCGCCGTGAGGACTCGGCTCTGGTCCTCTTGCCGAGGCGCAGTTACAGTGGAAGGTGGAAGCATGCTATGATGAGGAGGAACAAAAGGTTGACGATGGTGAAGCAGAATAGACTATTGCTTACAAATGGGAGTCCTATGATGATGTCCAGTGCTAGAATCAACAGTTTTTCGAGTCCCATGGTTCATGATCTTCGCAGCGATGAGAAGATGGATGGAGACTACGACGAGTACTGGTCTGCCGCCATGGAAGAGATCAGGTGGGATACCATGTTTCAGAATTTGAAACCCACATGAATGGTGAGAGATGGATTTTTTTGTTCTTCCACCAGTAACTTTTGGATTTTTTTTTTTTTTTTTTGAGCTGGCACAGGGCTGTGGTATCCTATCCTGTGAAAATTTATTCAGTCCATATAGGTCTAATCTATAGTTATGCGTAGCCAAGTTCATGCTGCGTTTAACTGCATTTGGTCGTGTCTAGCGATCATATTACATTCGAACCCGGATTGGGTTTCTTTTGTTTACCTGAAGACTTGCATTATTTTTCTTTTGGAGGTGGTGGGTCATGCTGAAAGGCCACCTTAGCTCCATTAGGCTCTGTATCAGTAATGAGATTGTCTCCCACTTATGTATTGTATGCAGCTTTCTTTTTAGTTAAATATGGTGATGATGATGGGCCTTCTTGAACAGGTAAAGCCTTCAACTGATGCGAAGGAAAGAGCAGTCTTTATTACCAATACCTAGAAATTTCATCATCTACAAAGCAAAAAAAGAAAAAGAAAAAATCAGCTAAGTAGCAGTATCTTTATGTTATTTATTACCACTCGCATGCAATTTGGTATTAATGCTTTTGTGAAAGAATTATTATGCCAGACTTGTAAGAATATAGGCTATACAACTCCTCTGTCAAAGGTGAAAATATTGATCCTCCAACTTCTAAAAGAAATACCCAGTGCACAAGGCTTCAGTCATAGTAGTTAAAGTCATCGAATCAGATGTTCTGCTGATGTTAAGGCCCTCTTAATCTGACTTTCGTACCCTATGTTTTAGGTTTTACAGTAATTACTTTGTCCCTAGAGGAGGAAAACCCCTCCTCATCCCACCCCACCCTCATTCATGTAAGGCTTGTATTGTTTTAAGTTGTGGAGTTATTGTGCCCTTCAAAATTTACATGCGCGTGCATAAACAAAATGCATCAATTCAGGGGTTGTTAGCAATCTTTCATAATGGTGTCTTGTTAAACAAAAATGAAATAGGTGTGGAGGGGTCAATACCCTCACTAGAAAACTCAATAATCAATTATAACTTCCACAACAAGGAACTCACTGCTGACCCATAAGTGACTAAGTATGCATGATGCTTAAAAACAAATATGAATAAGCATGGATTATATGATAAAATAACAAGACTCATTCGTTTATGTCTAAAACAATTGCTTCCCTACAGTCAATCCATGCAATTATATGAAGGAACATGTAAAAGAAGTATCGGTATAAAAGCCTTGTCATGCATGAGATTATAATAGGAATAATGTTTTGTATGGCTTGTATCGGTAAAATAAAAGTTTCATTGACAGAAAATGGAAGTACTCTAAACATGTTCATAGGAATAAGGAGACCTGAGATGCACTTTGTTTCTGACCGGCGGAAATACTGTACTATGAGAGGTCCTACAGTATTCCATCATATCTAAAATGGGTCCCACAATAGTGACTCGGCATCACATTTTGAGTCACGGACAATCTCTCTGCATGTAGAGTAAGACTAAGTCTAAGCGGATATTTATGATTTCAGTGAATCATATCACTCCAAACTATAAACCAAAGGCTAATGGGTGGGTGACCCACTGTTTTGTTTTCCTAGCCTATGAATCGTGATTCATGTCCATATATTTCCAAAGAATTCCCTAGGCCTCACTCTTATGAGAGTTTATCACACTACAGAACTTATCTTTGAAGGGAACATGGCCTAAATGAGCCCTACCCCATTTTTTCTGTCGTCACTCTCAAGTTCAACTACCATCCAATTGAAGCAGGAATATAAAAAGATTAAATCCTCAAAGCAACTTCATCACACTCCTGTGTTCTACACCTTATTACTTTGTATAGATGTATCTATCAAAACACATAACCATGTTTCAATAAGCCATGGACTGGTTTTCATGGCTATCGAAAACCGGCCTTGAGCCTTCCCTTGTTTCCGAGTATGCCCTTGCTTTTGGTCACAATGAGCTTGAAGAAGATGATATAGCATACTTTAACAATGAATTTCTCCAAAGCATGGGCATCTCCATAGCTAAACACAGGCTCGAGATTCTCAAGCTTGCTAGGAAAGAGAAGGGAGGAAGCTCACACCTCATGTCGAGGCTTATTGTAGCAATCAAGCAGACAAAGAGGCGTGCTGTTAAGTATATACAAAAATGGGTACATTACGAGGATTTGGCTCTTGTCCACGTCCAGAAGCGTAGTTATGGTTTGAGATGGACGAAAGCCAGGATAAAGAGAAACAACAAGTTGATGACCGCTAAGGAAGAGAGATTGATGCTTACAAATCAGAGTCCTATGGTTGCACCAAGTCCTTGGCTAAACAGCTTTTCAAGTCCAATGGTGGATCATCTTCCTAACAACAAAAACTCGGATGGCATTGACGGTGTGTATCGGTCGACTGGCCCAGAAGAAATCAGGTGGGATACAATGTTTCAGGATTTGAAACCCACATGATCCTGCCAATCCTACAGAAGTAGTTCAGTTGTAATGGTGAGATAAGATTCGGTGTGTATGGGAAGGCTTGCATTATCCTTATCTTTAGTGGTGGGTCCTATTTAAAGTCCAGAAGCCAAGAGATTTTCTCCCTCTTTTATATGTCTACATCCTTCATCACAGACGAGTTGTCTCCAAGTGGTGTCTAAGTGAAGAAAATCTGTGTCAGATTATCAAAATCTCCATTTTTTTATTAATGGAATAAATTATAAGGTTCAATTTGTTTCTACAATCTTGTAAAAGGTCAAGATTAATCAACATGTACATTCATGTTCATTGAAGCATGGGTTGTTTCTTTAGTGACGATTGCATATCATATGGAAATTAATCAGTCAGCAGAATTTACTAAACTGCTTTCATAAGTGATGAAAGTACAAATCTCAATCAAATGCTAACGGAAACAAATACAAATGACAAACACCCCTCAATAGTTACACACTACATTCAGTAGATATTTTTTGGGCCGACTTACTAGATAAATTATGAACTAAACTCAAATAATTTCTTGAAAAGAAGTCGTCACTCTCTAGGTCATAAACCTATTAGCATGGCTTATTGATTAAAGATGACACACACACACACACACACACACACACAACTATACACAAAAAAGGGGAAGACAAAAGAAATGTTTTGTGCTATTATGCAATTATGCATCAATTACAAGGTAATAGTACATAAATCTAGAAAGGAGTACCTGTGTTCTTCAATAAAGAGCATCAACAGGTCTCATCTTGTTGGGTATTGAAATAAAGATTAGCATCCCACCGAACTGGATACAGCAATTTAAGTCATTGAAGATGAATAATAGTCACGTTGACCACTACTGGTATTGATGTATTATGGTTATAACAGACATGTAGATAAATCCTCAGATAGTTCAAAGGTTTCCCTAACGAACCAAAGTCCCACAACAGATAAATCCTCAGTTCAGAGAGAGCTGAAGCTTGAAAATTTTACAGCTCCAGAAACTGCATATAGTGAACACAAACCGCAAGTTTTGTCTCGAGTCAAAATAACTGAGAAAAAACATATATATCTTGATAATTGAATTATAAGTAGTTCAAAAATCTCTAGTTATCAGTGGTCAGAATTTTGTGGCAGACGGAAGGAACCCCCAGCATAAAGCATTTGGTAGACTGGTCTGATTCTGAATGTGAGAATTAGGCTCAAGATAGTGCCCAGACCACAGGCTCCAGCTAGGACCAAGAAAGTGAGCCTAAAGCAGCTGGGACCAAAGCAAGAGGATCCATGTTGCTTAGCTGCCTGAGTGTCGTATACTTGACCAGCAAGCAGAGCTGAGAAGAGAAGTGCACCAAGAGGATTGCCCAGCTGCATGAAGTTGAAGATAATACCAAAATGTTTCAAGCCAAAAAGCTCAGAGACTGTTGGAATCATGACTCCAAACTGAACTCCATAGCAGATTCCTAGCAATGCAGTTGCAATATAAAGGGTGCCACTGAGAGCTGAAGCATATAGAAGAAATATAATGATCATGATTACTTGTGTGACCGTCATCCAAAGTGTGCGAGGAATTGTTTTTGACCTAAAATGAAAACATTCTAATATCAAGCCATAGCAACAGATCTTGAGGTTAAAATATTTACACTGAAGATAGAAATTTATGGAATTTGATGTAATCTTGTATAATGTAGGGAGCTAATCAGACGGCAGTATAGAGACAAGAGTCAACAATATTGTTACTGGTTGAGGAATCAAGGAGAAAATATTGAGTGAAGTCGTTAAAAACCTTATTATTCTCTTTAGAAATTTGGTATACTATGGGATTTCTTAGTAAACCAAAGAGCTTTCTCACAATATGATATTAAATACAACTTGTTGACATCAGGGTCGCCATAGTAGTTTTTATAATTCTATTTCCTTTTTTACGAAAGGTAGGTGCAGTCAGCTTAGTATTTACCTCACAAAGTGTTCAGAAACAGCACCTGCCCCCAGACGGCCCAAAAAATTGCAAAAGCTGAATAGACTCAACAATATAGTTGTATCATCCACACCTAGTGAAACTCCAATCTGCGCCAAATTATTCAAAACAGTTACCCCAGAACCTACCCCAAGGAAGTATGCTATCCAGAGAAGCCAGAAATCGGCCTTGATTATTGCTTCACGAAATTTGAAATCATCACCTCTTCTGGGTTTTCTTTTCTTCTTCACTGCCCCCTCCCCCACTGCCAGAAGCGTCTCTACATCTGAAAAATCTTCGGTATCATCAATACCTCCAAGATATGTTGCTGATGAAGATGGTGTCAATAAAGGATCTATTTGGTTTGAGTCGCCTTCTCCTGCAGTCAAATCTTCTGAAGAACCAGCTAGTTTGCGAGTTGTGGGGAATAACGTCATTTTGATGGGGATTGCAAGAGGAGAAATAAGAAGAATAATCATTACAGCAACCAATGTATAGCTAACGACATCATTAAAGGATAAGATGTCTTTTAATATTGTGGTTGTGAGAAGGTAGATGGCAAGTGCGAGACTTGCTCCTTGGGTGAAAAGAAAATGGACATGCACCGAAGAGTCTTCTCCAGAAGGTGGGGTACAAGGCTGAATAAAGTACATCATGGCCAAACAAATAATGGGAACACCCAACGTTAGGAACAGCAACAACTTTGAAGCTGACCCACTAAGCACCATAGTGTACACCTCTGTAAATACCGCAGCACTGAGCCCAACATAGCCTTTAAGAATTCCAGCAACTGTTCCCCGACTGAGAGGGAAATTCCGCATGTTTGTAACAAGTACGGCAGTACCTAACCATGCATTGCTGTTGGTGGCAACACAAAGTGCGAGCCATAACTGCCATAACATTAACCACTTGGGTCAGAAAAATAGATGAATTTGATTGTAAAAATGCAGTAACAATTTAAAAAAGTCTGCCATGTCAGAATGCAAGTGAAGCATGTCGAGGATAACTGCTGAAGAAAAAAAAAATTAATTATTTTAAACGATGTCTTTATCATCAATGAGTTTCCTCCATCGACCATAAAGGTCTAATTACAGAGTATAATGGATTTTCATTATTTATGGTGAAAATATCTGTCAGTTATAGCACTCTACATGCCAAAAGATCTTGGAACGACAAAATAAGGCTGGTCAAAGGAAATATATCAGTGGTTCATGTTCAAGACTTATGGTTCCATGCTCTCAAAGTAAAACTCAAACTTACACCCATGTTACTACAGGTTCTTCTGCATAAAATACAAAGAAAGTGCCGTGAAATATTTACTCTTCATGGCTTAACTTAGGGCTGCTGAAATGGACTTGATCATTCTGAAGCTCACATGCAGAGTGCAATACAAATTACAAATTTTGGCAATACCAACAGACAGAGAAATGCTGGAGTCCCTCATTAAATAGCAAGTGGAAAAAGTGTACTCAAATTTGTAGTTCATGCAGAATAGCCCAATGTCAAATTAACCCAAATTAAGATATTACATAACTAAAATGACACAAAGAAAATTACTCAAAACAACCTAAATGGGACAGACCTTGCCTTCACAGCAAGAGTTGGAGTAACACGAAAATTTGATCGTCTTAGAAAAGTAAAAGCATCAAGTAATATAACACCAGTAGCCCAACAGTCAACCGAACGATGTTCGCATCCACTGTATCTCTAGTCAAGGAGTTGAGCTCATGCAAACATGTCAACATGACTAATTCTTTATGTGCAAAGACATTTTATCTTCCAGAAGAATGGTATATATGCCACTTAACCCTGTATTGTCTATAATAGGTCTTGACAACAAAGACTGGTGGTCTCATACAAAGCTATATGTTGGTGAGGAGCAGGGGAAGGAGAACCACCAAAGGAAATGGTGGGAATCGGAGAGGCCCCTTGCCATGATTTTGTAGAAAGATTTGCTTGGAAACAAATTAATGCATCATGGCACCAATTTCCAACATCTTGGAAAGATAAAGGTAATTACTAATTACTCATCAAGGATGAAAAGATAATCCTATAGTTCTCATTCTCATTAAGCATTACAATATCTTCTGATTATTATGGAGGACTTTATAGGGCCCCACCAAGTTGATATCGGACCTTAAGTCTCGAGGGAAATATTATGCAGTGCCAGAATCGGGGCCAAACTTATCTCAAAATTTTTCACAGGACGGAGGGTAGTTCATTGGCTAAATTTGATTTCAAACACTCATCAGAACTCCAAAGTGATCTTAATTTAGCATTAGGTACAACTTTGTGCACCAAGAAACCAAATCAGTTTCCTAGAACCCTGAATTTTGATGGAATACATGATACAAATTCTAGACCACTGTGAGATTTGGAGGAGTTGACGACTGACTAGTCTACAAAGCAATTTTCTTCCGTAGACAAATGAATAACTTCAAAGCTTTTCAATCCAATTCGCACCTTTAATCAGATGCCAGAACAAGACAAAAACACAAGGAATACTAGGAAAACAGACAGGATATCACCTAGCCAATTCACCTTGTAAAAGTAGTTCTTCGGCAGTGCAGTAAAGATCCAGCAAAAATTTTAAATTGCCAATCACTTCTAATGCAGAGATTACAACGAAGCAAGTCAAAAAAAGCCAAATAATGAAAAACTTCACCTACGTTTGGCATGCTTTTCATGGCCTGTTTGAAATATTGCAAATGGAAAATCATGGAGAGATTGGTTTGTTTGACATACATGGTGCTATGACCAATTGAACCCACTGACAATTGAATGTGTAGGCAATCAAGCAGTATATATATCCAAACTCTAAAGCCCGTCCAAAAATCACATTTAAAGTCTCCTTGCAATCAAATCCCCAAAATGGGTAGTCACAGAACATAAGCAAAACTAACATCCCACCAGTCCGTATCCCCAGACAAACCAATTTCCAAGGGGAGGAAATGCCAAAATTCTGTAAAAAATTTCATCACAATCTAGCAATTTCAGACTACTAAGTCAACAATCGGGCACCAAAATTTCACTAGAGAGAGCCAAATTAACAAATTTTTGGCGATCATATCAGCAAATTAGCATCCAACAATCAGTAGTTCTACGAAAACAATTCCAAATGGGTATGCAAAAACCTCATCTTTATGAGAGAGAGAGAGAGAACTTACAACACAGTAAGGCAAGGAGGGAACAGTCTGGCTAACAGCAAGCCAAACAACACCAAACCCCAAGAAAGAAGTACAAACACCAACTAAGAGAACAGCCCAAGGAGGGAACTTGTTGCAGGCGATGCCTGGAAGAATACCAACGTTCTCTCCAATATCATTGGCCACACCAAGAAGAGTGAGCTGTTGCTGAGTGAAACCCAGAACTGATTTGAGTGAAGAAGAGTAGAGAGGGAAAGTGTAGCCGTTCCCAGCTGCGATCTGGACCCAAACAGCTGCTGCAAGTCCCACCCATGGTGGTCTACTTCCAGCTTTTAGGACTGCCATTTTTGTAAATGGGTTTATGAAGTTTGACTCGATCGTCCTCAACCTTGGAGTAAGAAACAAGAATTGACATAAAAAGAGAAAAGGAGGTCAAGGGGAAAGTTTTTAGAGAGTGATAGATTGAAAATTGAAGAAAATGAGCTATATATAAAACGCACACTCACGAATTAAATAAAGAAGTAGTTGAAGTTGTATTTCGATTATTCATAAATTTTGATTCAATTCGATTCTAGCAATCTATATTAATTGGTTATCCGAAAGAATCAATATGTTAAGGGAAGATTTTTTGGTATATATATATAAAAATATATATACTAGTTATTGTCTATGTCCGAAGGTAGTGAGTAATAAAAAATGATAAACAATAAACATATTTATAATTTATATCTAAAATTAAATTACAAACAAAAAAAAGAAATAAAAAAAATTTAAATATCGATTTGTAGTAGGGGTGAGAGGTGATGGGCGGCAATGGTGGTGGTAGAAAACGGTGATGGTTGTGGTGGTTGTAGTAGGTGGCAATGCCCGGGGTGGTGGCGGCTGCGATGATGGGCGGCAATAGTGACAGTGGCATTGGTGGTGGCAGTGGCGGTGGCAGTTGTGGTGGTGGTGGTGGTGGGACGATTTTAAATACTATTTTTTTAAAAATAATTTCTAAATGTACTTTTAAAAAATCATTCCAAACACACTTTTAATGACCTATTTTTACTATCAAATTTAGGGTGTTAATATTAGCCGTTAGATTAACTTTAAAGTAAAATTTAAAACGATATCAACCGTGAATAGTAAAAGTCATTTTGTTTATCTTTTGAGATTTGAATTGTAAGCTACTTTATTATATATAGTTATAACCTGTGCCTGAAGGCACGATTGAAAAAAAATTCGAGTTCTAAAAAATCAATATCACTATATTAAATAATATTTTTTCTTTCTTTCATTCGTTTGATTAAATCATTCAAAATTTATTTTTACCCATTATTTTCTTAAAGATATTAATAAAATTTTCTCAAAATATGTAATTCGATAAATTTTTTAACAGATGTATACTATCGTGTATGGATAATATCTGAAATAAAAATTATGTTAAATTACAAATTAATCAAATAGTAAATGGTTGAGCATACTATAAAAATGAGTGATGTGATGATTTTGAGAGGTGAAAAATGTATAGGTGATAAAATTCAACTTCATGTGTGTTTTATTATATAAATTTGTATAGATATAAGGAAAAATTTTATTCAGATCTCCTGTAGTTATGTCTAAATTCAATAACACCTCCTTCCGATTTTGAAATTTTACTGTCACTCCCTGTTAGTGATTGTTAGGTTACACTGTTAATGGCGATGATTGATTTATAGAAATATCTTCGAGTATTTTATAGAGTAAATTTTATCCATATCCCTTATAAATTAACCTAACTTTAACAATACCCCCTGTAAATAGACCTAATTTTAACAACACCCTTTATTGATTCTGAAATTTCAATACACTCCCTTTTAGTTCTATTATATTAGTTTTTATTTTGATCAATTTAATATTCAATTTTATCAAAATAATTTTTTTTATTTAATTTAAATTAAATTAACATTCCATCTCATCAAATCAACATAAAATTGATATTTAATTTTATCAAATTAGCGTTTAGTTATATTAATTTAATATTAGGTTATTAATTATTTTTATCAAATTAACATCAAATTGAAATTCAATTTTATTAAATTAAACTATTTAATTCCATTAATTTAAAATTTAACCTTATCAAATTAATGTCATTTCTTTTATTTAACACCAAATGAACATTTAGTTTTATTAAAACAACATTCAAATTTATTCAATTAACATTAAATTCAATTAAATTAATGTTTAATTTTATCAAATTAAAACTAAAATTAATATTTGAATTTATCAAAATTAAGACCAAATTTATTCAATTAATATTAAATTTTATCAAGTAATTTTAAATTTTATATATGAAGTATGATGTGTGAAGAGTGGTCGGGCGACGTTGTGGAGGACATATGACAGTAGAGAATTAGAAATGGATGAGATTTTGACATTAACTTTATCAATTGTAATTTTTATTTAGAAAAATCATTTTTAACTATAAAAATTATTATGATAAAAAAATATAAAAATTATAAAAACTTGATTATGTAACCAAATCAGTGATAATATGATGACTAATATTATAACAAAGTTATAATACGACGTTTTAAAATAAAAAAATTTGTTGGGATAATATAATGATTGAAATTACGTTTGTTGGCTGACTAGCGCATATGTAATGGGAAAAAAAATTGATGACATTTTAGTCTATTTACATAATAAAGAGTAATTTTAGTATTTTCATAAAACATTTAGTTAAATCATTATTTTATCTATTGACAGAGACAAAAGTTATTGTTATAGGGGTTGTCATTGAATTTAGACTCAACTATATGGTGTTTAAATGAAACTTTCCCTAAGATATAACTTGTAGATATATTATGTTTTCAATTTTTGTACTATATATATGTACAGTAAATATGTGTGTGTGATATGAACATTAAAGATGGAGAGCAGTTGTATTAGGATAGAATTTTGGGGAGCCATGTGTCTCAATTTGGAAAGAGAATCATGAAAGATGAGAGTGTGAGGAACAGTTAATGTCTCAGTATAGAAAGTGATCTTTTAACATAGTAAATAAAATCAGGAAAATAATGATAAGAATTGTAATATGTATTTTAGGGAGAGAGACAGAGTTGAGGAATGAGAGTTCACTTAATTGCCGGATTTGATTGGGTTGGAGAATTAAATTTAGGGATGTTAGTTTTGGAAACTAAAAATCTTAAGCGGCAAAAAATTTTCAAGAGCTAATATGGTACGTCGGATTGAAACAATATGAGACGTCAATAGTTTGAGACAATTTGAAATACTGTCGGCCGTTGGATGATACCTTTTTTGATCTTGAAACGATCTGAGCCGCTCTTTATCTCTTGAATTCAAAATCATTCTACTTTATTATATATATATATATATATATATATGTGTGTGTGTGTGTGTGTGTGTGTGTGTTAATTTTTAAAAGTCTTAATATTTTTATTGATGTTTATGACTTTCTTATTGTGCTTTATTGTAATTGTTAATGTATTATCAAATTTATTGTGTTTTCTTTAGTGTTATTGATTTATCGTGTTAGTTAATTGGTGCAAGTTATTTAATTAAATTGTTAAAATTATCCAAAAATTAATAACTAAGAAATACGTGTTCACTTGACTTCCTACTTGATTGTTTTGAATGGAATTCGGGTATAAATAATACACTTGATAGGGTAGAATAGATCAAGAAATTTTTTTTCTTAAAGTATCGAGTAGGAAGATGGAATACCTTACTCATAGGGTAGGGTGAACACCCCTAGTAACCGGGACAAGTTATAAACACCAACAATCTGAATTTGAATCTTAGTAATCATTTATTCTTCGTTTGATAGAAAACATGGAAAGTAGGAAAAATGAAAAGTACGAGAGATATATTTTCTATCTTTCAAGAAGAAAAATAGTAATGATATACTTTCTTTCTTTTGCGTTTGGTAGGATGAATGGAAAATAAAAATGATTATTAATTTTTTTTTTGTGATTAGTAAGATGGAAAAAATATTTTTATTTTTAAATTTTTAAAATTTTATTTTTAATTTATTTTAAAAAATATATAAATACATATTTTATCATTGTATTTATATATGAAATTAATGTATATATATATATATATATATATATATATATATATATATATATATATATATTAATTTTCAATTCACTTTCCTTCCAATTTTGGAGGAATTGATTTTGGTGAGTTGGAAAGAAAGCTCATTCATCCATTTTTTCATCCTTTTTATTTTCTTTACTACCAAACATGATGTTTTATCTATCCCTTCAAGTTTTCATCCTTCCAATTTTCTATCTTTCCATTTTTTTCATCATATCAGACGGAGCATTAGGGCTAAATCATTAAAGATTTATCTCTCGTGAATATTCTAGTCTTAACGTAGATAACTTGCATTTAACCAAACTATAAAATAAATTAATTAAAGTGTGCATAAATTGATTCGGACACCTTGACCATTGAAACAAAACACACACACACACACGACATTCAATGGAAAAACTTCTTTGATTTGTAAGGGTTAAGAGTGTAATGTCACGCCCTATTTAATTCTCAATTTGCGTACAGTTGATCGTGTGAAATTGTATTTAATTTTCATTTGATTTATTTATAATAATAAATATTAGGATTTGTATAGCATTTAATAGAGTTATATAGATCCTTTTTTTTTTGAAAGGTAGAAAGTTCCATTCAACTATTAAAGGATCGATTACAGTCAGAAAAAAATCGAGGCCCGTAAGAGGTGATGAAGTCTAGACTTGGCCACCCAACGCACTGCCATATTGGTAACTCGAGGCCCGTATTTGAGGTTCAGATCTAAAGCTTCTACAACTAACTTGATATCTTTTATAAAGGTAGCAATTTTCTAGGGAGGTGCACCTTCTCTTGTGCACAACAAAATAAGGAATTGATTGTTGCTTTCGATTGTGGCGCGATGAAAATTCCAATTCATTGCCAAAAGACAAGCTTCACGGATGATTGCTACCTCAGAATAAAGGCTTGACACTGTTGAAACAGAGAGAGACACTCCATCCAAAAGACACCCAATTGCGTCTCCGCACACCACTCCCACAGAAGCTCTAGAGATGCTAGGTTTGAATGTGTCATCACAATTGAATTTAACAGAGTTTTGTATTGGGGGGAGCCACTGGGGGGCATGTATAGCTTCTTGCAGATCAGATTTGGAGAGACAACTAGACACAGGGCATCTAGAGTAGTTATATTCTCCCTATCCTAATCTAGCTCTTTTGATAGCATTCAAAGGGTCAGGTGGTTGCTATTGAAAGATGGCTTCATTGCTAATTTTCCATATGGTCTACTCGACGAAAACAGCTTTCCCCAGAACTTTCACAACTTACCTATAGTCTGTCGTTGTTTCTAGTAGTTTTGCAGTCCACTGTTTGATGGAAGTGACTCCTTGCTAGACCGATCTAATCCCCAAATCACACCCAAAACACACTCTATGAGTCCATTCACAAGAAAAGAGTAGGTGTTCAACTGATTTTGGCTCTGAATTACAAATCCCGCATATAGGAGAAAGCAAACATTTGCATCTAAACAAGTTTTCCTATGTCGCTAGAGCATTGGAGCATGCATTCCACCAAAATTGCTTAACTTTCGAGGTCGCTGTAATTTGCCAAATAAACCTCCAAATTTTTGGAAGTAGAGAATCCGGGGAGCTTCCTTGGTTTCTTGACTTCAACTATTTCTCCCATCAAGCTACAACATATATTGACTTAAGTGAATACATACCCTTCAAATTGGGATGCCAAATCAATTGGTTAGACCCCACAAATTTAGCTATAGGGATTTTGATAATTGTTTCCCATTCCTCAGTCCTAAACAGAGTTCTTAAGATATCCATTAGCATCTTCCACCAAAAAAATCTCGCATTTAGAAGGCTTAATAGACGTGATTCTGAAATTTGGAAGAGTGGATACACATTTATCCTCCCAAAATTTGATCTTGTTCCCGCTGCGGACTTGCCAACGTAAAATTTTCTCTAGTAGTTCCCTACCCCAAAGAAGACTGCTCCACATCTATGACGGTTTAGCAGCTGGTCTGGACTATAAAAAATATGTTTTAGGGAAATAAATAGATTTCATGATATGCGCCCAAAAGGAATTAGGATTTTGAATGAGTCGCCACCCTTTCTTTGCCAATACCCCCTTATGCCTTTAGGAGAGTCAAATCATCCCACTTCCTCCAATGGATTCTATTACCCTCTGAATTCCTTTCCCACCAAAACCTCCTCACTAGGGAATTGATTTTCTCACAAAATTTTCGAGGGAAAGCTAAACATGTTGTAGCATAACTAGGGATTGTCTATACCACTACCTTAATCAAGACCTCCTTACCAACTTAAGAAAGGTATGCTTTCTTCCATCCTTGAATCTTCTTCATAACCCTTTCAACCATGTAATTAAAGGTCTCTACTTTAGAATGACCCCAAAAGGATGGGATACCCAAATATTTAGCATTACTTGGTAAAACTTCAATCTCCAACCTTTCACTTAAATGATTTCTTTCCTTTGGTGGCGTATTTTTTGAAAATAGCACTCCCAATTTCTAGAAGTTAAAAGCTGTCTCGATGCTTCGCAATATCTGGATAAGGTACTCCTTAAGTGACTCCCCTCCCTCTTATTTGTCTTCAAGAAAATGAGATAGTCATCGAAAAAAAGTAGGTGGGATAAAATAGGACTCCTTCTTTTGATTCATATACTCGAGATCCTCTCTTCATTGCAGATCTTTATAGATAAGCCTAGAGAGAGTGTATGCTACAAGAAAAAAGAGATAAGGAGAAATTGGGCCACCTTTTCTAAGCCCCCTTTCTGGTAAAATTTTGCAAATGGCAGCCCCATTGATCAACACTTCAAAATTCACCGTAGTAACACATTGCATGATGAGATTAATCCAAGTAGCATGAAACCCCGACCTCCTCAAAATTGCTTCCAAGAAATCCCATTCAACTTTATCATAGGCCTTGTTGAGGTCCAACTTAATCGCCATTAGCTTCTCTCTACCCGATTTAATTTTTAGGCTGTGAAAAGCTTCATTTACAATAAGTTTATTGTCCTGAATAAAAGAATTGGGAAACAAAGCTTCATTTTCAATAAGAACTTGTGAGAATTGTTTGAAGATAACGCCAGATGAAAGTCCTCAGATGAAGTTGATTTTCTTCTCTTACACCCACCATCATCCTATTCCTCCTTACTTGTAAGAAAAACAGAGGACTTGTGCTTTAGACATAGTTTTTGGAAAACTTGGGCCAAAGTTTTCTCAACACCCTTAGGCTTAAGGGAAACAGATCGAGCGAGCTTTTTTTTTGTTTATGATATCTGCCTCTTGAGACACTGGGTCAACAGGTACCAAAAGAGGCCTTGGGATGGTTAGTTTCCGGATTGCTTCGCCTATTGGCTTTTTAGAGGCTCGATAACAAAATAACCCAGTTTACTTGGGCTTATTTCCTCTATAACTTGGGTCTGATTATCAGCTCAAGGGGTTACTTCAGATGTTATAGGTAATTCCCCTTTCTCCTTGTGCCCCTTTGGAGTGGATAAGACGACAACTGCTTCATCACTGCTCTTGTTTGTCTGTCTATCTACTGAGAATTCCCGAGTGTGAGGCTGAACTCTTGGGAGAATGGCTACACATGGAAGGATGGCAATGGATGGGGGATTCTTGTACACGTAGGAGCTCACACCACCAACTGACAGTTTGTTAGGGTTGTCCTTTGTTGCAACGCGAACACCTCCTGCCTTCCCATGTTCACATATTTGACATGCTGGTGGCCGTTGGCCTTCCCCAGTCCCTTTCTTGTATCCCTTGGTTCTAGAAGTTCCACCTATGGTAGCTTCTTTTTCTGACCAATTTTCTACGAAAAAGGAGTTAAAGGGAGTCGTTAGAGCCCTCAAATTAGGTCCAAAGTTCACTTGATCCTCAATTTGTTTTTGTAGATAGAAGTTTCTTCCATGGCCAATTCGACCACAAAGGTAGCAGAAATCCGACAACCTTTCATACTTGAAGCTAACCCATGTGTCATCAAGGTTTTTGTGCATCAGGTAGAAGCCCTTCTTAAGTGGCTCTGTTATATCAATTTCGCAACGAACAAGCAGGTAATTCCTAGTTAGAAGTAACTCCTCTTCAAAATCTTCTAACTTCGTTGGGGTTCCCAGAAATTCGCCTAGTCTCTAGAAGTTGTTTTTGGTAATTGCATGGGAGATTTCCTACAATAGTTTGAGATAATGACCTTCAGCTTGGTGGATCTGCAACAGCCACAGGGTCAGAAAAAAGGGGGCCAGGTGAACACCTGGCTTGTCCCCTCCGAAGTTTAAGTCAGTTTAAGATTGAAGGCTCAAGCTCAATGCATATAATATTTTTGGTTCAATGTTGGGTACCTTTGTTCATTTTTTTGAGGAGTATTTATACCTGAATTAGATATGAGTGCAAAGACTTTAAGTCTTATCTGAATATTCAATGTCTGACACCTTTTCCCAAGAAGATCTGAATGTTCTCCCTCAAGATCTTCACTCATTTAATGTAAGGATGCTAGGACAAGTGCTCGGGGACAAACCGAGCATCTATGGCTATTCTCGAGCACTCAAGTGTCTATGATCAGCATCTGACACCTACTTCTAGGTTTTAATGCTCGGGAGAATAGTATCTCGAGGTGTACCAAGGAGATACACTCAGTGTATAAGCCATTAATGTCTAGCTTCATGATCGCAGGCCTAGGGTTTGAGACTATAGGGTCTTATTAATGACATTGTCTCCATCACTCGCTTCGCCATAAATAAATGGTCAAGTCGCATTAAATGCAGGTGTCAGTTCGAGCACTCTGCTCCTCTAAATCGTTACCTCTCGACTCGGCTCCTCGGCACCCTTTGAGCTCTACAACGGCTACAATTTTACACGTGTCGATTCGGGGGTTGCTGAACCGCCTTAAGCCCTGCCAATTGCCCCCCAGCCTTTGTTCTTTTTTGTGGTGTGGGACAGGTGGCGCAAGGAGACTGGAGGCTTACCGAATACGCCTCATCAATAGCGACGATTTTTTGCACGTCTGGCACCACCCTTTTCAAATCTCCTAATGATGACTTGCCTTTTCGATTCCCGCCCCTTCCAGTAGGGTATAAATAGGAGATGTTTGAGCCTTTTCAGAACTTTTACATTCTCAGCTTCTCTTCAGCAATCAGCCCCCGAGAATTCCTCTTCCACCTTTCAAGCACTCCTATGTTCTCTTTCGAGTTCCCTTCCTAAAAACCCTCTTCCTGTAAGTACTTCCTTTCAAGTTTCTTTCTCACTTCTTCTATATTTCTTCTCTTTAGAACCCACAAATGGCTAGAACCCGTAGAATAGTCGAGAGAGCACCTACCAGGGCTAGGGCCAACCGTAGACCAAGCAGAACTGAGGTCAATGAGGAAAACATAGATGCCTTTAGAGCCAGATATCGAATCCTTGAGCGTGTTTTCACTTTTTCCTTCAACCCCCTTCATCATAGAAGGGACCTAGGATGTGTTGCGATGATGCCTTTCTGGACAAAGGCCATTATGGAAGGGGTTGACCTTTCCCTTTCACCCCCTGGTACTTAGAATGTTGATGCAATTGAGGCTTTTTCCTCTCTAATGTGGTGTCAACTTCTTTAGGATAGTGATGTGCGTGGTTACCCTCAATGCTCGGCTTGGGGTTAACCTAAGGGTAGATGAGATCTTGTTTTGCTATGATTTAAGATTAGTAGCAGTGGGCAAGTACTGCCTTCAAGCCCAAGAGACCTTAATGTATTTGGTGACCCACATGTCTGACTCGGACAAGAGATACGCGGACGATCTAATCATGCTCGGCGAAAGTTGAAAGAAAGGAGATGGGCCCAAGTATGATGGATTGTACTGTCCCAAGGTGCCGGGGGATGAAGGTGTGTCTTACATGTATTTTGGGATTTGTTCTACATCCTTTCCTCATCATTACTAACCTTTGTTTTATCTTTGCAGAGGGTTATCGGCAGGACGTTGCTCAACCACTTAGGTCCCAAGTCAGATTTGCAGACCTGCTGAAAGTTTGGTCCCACGACCCGATGGATCGAGCCTCACACACACTCCTCGGCTACGTACCGACTTACTCCCACTTCTCTCAATTCCCTCCACCTTTCTACCCTTTGGTGTGAGAGGGTCAGACTTCGTCGAAAGAGGAAGAGAAGGAGGAAGAAGACCTTGAAGTGGACCTCGATTGCGATTCGAAGCACACGCCATCACTAGAAGACATGTTCAATCCACCACCTATCATTGCTGCAACAATGGAGGTCATCGCTGCGGCGAGGAGAGTAAGGCTCTCGGGACTTGCCGGGCCTTAAACCGTCACCCCGATCATCCTGTCGCCGGCCTCACCAAGGAGGGAGCTATACCCGTCGCCACCACGTCCTCAGTCATCCAAGGACCTAATTGTCCTGCCATGGGACAAGGCTCCAAGTCAACAAGTCCCCCCCTCGGGGGATCAACAAAGGGATAGGAGGGGCTGGAAGCCCGAGGGGGTTGAAGAGCGTCGACAGAAATGCCGACTTGACGCCCTAGGCCCGATTACCTCTACCGAGTGAGTGGCCCGAGTAGAGACCAGGAGGAGACGCCCCGTGCTGGAGGCGGACTCTATCCTTCAGTCCCCCAATGTGGCCTTTGCAGTCACGGGGACTCTACAATTTTAGGCCGACATGGCCGTGCACCAAGGCCTTGGAGAAAACAAGATTCTCCAAAATGTCATTCAAAAAAACTTGGTGGTAAGTGGGGTCTCTCTTAACCTTGTTTCATTTTGCCTATATGGCCATCTCTAACCTAAGTCTTTTTCATTCTCAGACCTGCCAGTAGATGGGGGGTCATCATTGAACGCTTTTGGGGGTACAAGCAAGAGGCCAGGAATATCGAGCGGGCCCTCACCACCAAAGACGAACACATTAAGGTGGTGGAGAGGACACTTGCTGACCAGACCCACCAGATCGCCGAGCTCATCCGCTAACGTGATGCCCTTGCTATTGACGTTGAGAAGATGAAGGCGGGTGAGGCCGAGGCCATCAAGAGGCCGAGGAGTATAAGTTTCGGGTGTCTGCTGTCGAGGTCAAGCTCTTGGACTCTAAGGCCATCACCAATGAGTTGACCGCCAAGGTTGATGCCCTGGCTTCGGAGAGGGTGAGGGAATAAGAAAGGCTGCAACAAGAGTGCCAGAGAATGTGGCTGGCTACTCAAGATCAGATGGTCCCCACTTTCGAGGAGACGAAGCAGAAAGCCTACAAGGAAGGCTGGGATGATGCTTTACAACCTGTCGTTGTTAACTCCGAGTCAGAGTTATTTCAAATGCACAACGTCCTCGGGGAGCCTGGAGAAGAGATTCTTCCTGAGGAACCTACTAACTCTGAGCCCGTTCAAGCTGTGACCAAGGACAAAAATAAGCCCATCACACTTAATGATGGCTCTGTTCAGCCTTCCCCTACCCTCCCAACTTTACCCCCCGCCGAGCAAATTTATGATCTCCCTCCTCTCCCGCCCCCAATCATCATGGGAGAGCATGACACCGAGCTGGATGAGATACTTGGGGTTGGGGAGGAGTCATTAAGGCGGCGGTGCGGTCACCTCTGCGGCAACGAATATGGTGGTGGGGAGTCCGTGGGCCCAGGTCTTAGGGGTCCTTAGTTGTTTTGCTTGTACCTCTGCTTTTGTTACTTCTGTGTTTTTATGACTTCTTTGTTGTTGTAACTTCTCTATATGCCCCGGGGACACAAAGCCCCATTTTGGAGTTAATGAAACTTCTTTTTCCATGTATATGTTCTTTCAATTTTTCTCTTATCGACCGCTCAAGGATCATACCCTTTGGTCTCAAACTAGAACTAAAGTTATAAGTCAATAATGACCTCTAGAGGTAACATAAAAGTGAAAATCATTGGTTGTAAGAGAAGTTCTTTAATAGGTAACACAAAGGAATTCTAAGTGTTGATCTTGTCTATCCGGGAATGATGCCCCTCGGGGCCGAATATCTTAACTGTCAGGCCCCTAACGACCGAGCACTTGGCTCGTTCATTCGAGGGCGTTGCTCCAAGGATGAAGTTTTACACCCCTCGAAGTCATGCCCCTAACGACCGAGCGCTTGACTCATTAATCATTTGAGGGTGTTGCTCCAAGGGTGGAGTCTTACATCCCTCGGGGTCGTCCCCTTAATGACCGAGTGCTTAGCTCATGTTAATTATTCGAGAGCGTTACTCCAATAGTGGAGTCTTACACCCCTCGGAGTCATGCCCCTAACGACCGAGCGTTTGACTCGTGTTAATCATTCGAGGGCGTTGCTCCAAGGGTGGAGTCTTACACCCCCTCGAGGCCGTGTCCCTAATGACTGAGCGCTTGACACATGTTAATCATTCGAGGGCATTACTCCAAAGGTGGCGACCGAGCGCTTGGCTCATGTTAGCAATTCACTTAGAAGCAAAGCCTAACATCCAGCTTAATAGAAGTATTTCTTCAAATTTGATACGTTCTAAGGCTGGGTTACATCATTACCATCCATACTTTGCAACCTGTATGCACCTGTTCCCCCAACAGAGATCACTTTGTAAGGGCCTTCCCAATTGGGACTAAGTTTCTCATCAATGGGTTCCCGAGCATTGCCCACCACTTTGTATAACACCAAATCTCCAACTTGGAAATTTCTCAGTCGGACCTTCTTCTGGTGTTGTCTTGATAGTTACCCTTGGTACCTTGCTAATCTGATAGATGTCAACGCTTTTCTTTCTTCAGCTAAATCGAGATCCCTAGCAAGCGTTTGATCATTGTTTCCCAATTCAAAGGCTTGGCTCCTTATCGTTGGGAGTCCTACTTCCAATAGGATAATGGTCTCAACCTTATATGTCATTGAGTACGGCGTTTCTTTTATTGATGTCCTCGGCGTGGTTCTATAGGCCCATAACATATTAAGCAATTCCTTGGTCCACTTTCCCTTCGCCTCCTCGAGCCTCTTCTTGATTCCCACCAGTATTGTTTTGTTGGACACCTCTGCTTGTCCGTTACTTTGGGGATAGACAGGCGTGGAATAGTAATTACATATTCCGAATCCTGAACA